TATTGTTTCTCTTATTCTTTTATTTTTCTTATATGTACCCATTTCATGTATTCACAACTATGTATACACTTATACTTATTATCTTGTAAACAATTGGCAAATCAAATAAATAAATAAATAAATAAATAAATCATCCTGGTTGCTCTTCTCTGGACTATTTTTAGAGTCTGAACATCTTTTTTATAATGTGGTGACCAAAGCTGGATGCTGTTCTATATTAGCATACTCCAAATACACTTATCTGATTGGTCCACACATACTATAAGTTGCCCGCCCCGCGCTTTGGGTGGTGGCAGTTGCCTCCTCAGCTCCCGCCGCCTCCTCCTTCGCCGCCGCCGCCCTTCTCTCAGCCTCCTTCTCGGGGTCCTCCTTCCGAGGGAAGCAGCGCTTAGCCGAAAGGCCGGGAGACAAGCCGAGGCCGCCGAGGGCCTTTCCCTTTCTCTCCTTGCGCCCACGCTCGCCCCGACCGAGCGGCCGCCCCGATGCAGGCCATCAAGTGTGTGGTGGTGGGCGACGGTGCTGTAGGTAAAACATGCCTACTCATCAGTTACACAACCAATGCATTTCCTGGAGAATATATACCAACTGTATTTGACAACTACTCCGCCAATGTGATGGTAGATGGGAAGCCAGTCAACCTGGGCTTGTGGGATACCGCTGGACAAGAAGACTACGACAGACTACGCCCGTTGTCTTACCCACAAACAGATGTGTTCTTAATTTGCTTTTCCCTTGTGAGCCCAGCATCCTTCGAAAACGTCCGTGCAAAGTGGTATCCAGAGGTGCGGCACCACTGCCCCAATACCCCCATCATCCTAGTGGGAACCAAACTTGATCTCCGAGACGACAAGGACACTATAGAAAAGCTCAAGGAGAAGAAGCTGACGCCAATCACCTACCCACAAGGCCTTGCCATGGCGAAGGAGATCAGTGCAGTCAAGTACCTAGAATGCTCAGCACTTACGCAGCGGGGCCTGAAGACAGTCTTCGACGAAGCCATCCGAGCCGTCCTGTGCCCCCCTCCAGTCAAGAAGAGGAAGAGAAAATGCCTGCTGCTCTAATGCTGCTGCTGCTTTCATCCCCCCCTCCCCCCCCCCCAAAAAAACCTTTTGTGCTTTGCTTGGAATAACGGAGCATTCCTGCATTTCTGTTTTTTGTTAAAAAAATTGGTTATCTTTCCCCTTCAGGTTATCCTAAAACAGCCATCTTACATATTTCCCTTTGTTTAAAAAAGTTAGCTTCTTCCTTCCTTCTCCTTTTTTTAAAAAGACATATAAAGGCCTTACTTCTCCCCAACCCCCAACCCTTTTTTCCCTGCTCCGCTTAATCAAATGTTGCCAAACTTTCTGCTCCTTACTCTTCTTGGATTGCTGTGCTTTGTTATGTGAAGCCACCAGACCTGTTTTTTTTTTTCCTTACAGAGTCAGGCAGGTGTCTTTAAAAATACTAATGTTTTATTACCAGCTGCAACACTTTAATCGGGTTTTCCCAGGAAGAAGAAAAAAAAAAAGTTGCTGTCTAAAAATGCCCTCGTTCATCCGACAGCTCTTTCACACCCATCTTTCATGCTTGAACAAATGCAATAATTGACAACTCCAGATTAACCCTTCCCCTTTTTTAATATATATATATATATATATATATATA